GATTATTTAGATATTTTTTTTACTTGATAATAATTAATAAATGACAGTTTTTAACAATTAATTACAGGTGTATCTACAACAGTCCCAACTTGATTTTAAAAAATAATTTCATATTTAGCATTGTACTATCTTATTGTGTGGTAAGTATTTCTATTAATTAAAAATAAATAATAATTGTAGATATTAATAATATTATAAAATAGTGAGAACCTATCTACAATAATAATAATAAATATTATTATAATTTATTACTATTATTATCATCAAAAAAATTATTTGTACGTCTACCATCACCTTTTGAAGTAGTAAAAACTTAGAAATTCAAATTTGAGAGTGGTTTTTAGTAGGCAATATTAATTATATTTATATTATTTTGACTTTGGTTGGGTCTTGGGTTGAAGGTAAAAACTTCTCAGTACATTCTCCATAATAAGGAAAAATTCTATCTGCATGAATGATTCTGAGCGGAAATGGTCTGTCAGCGTAGATATTTTAATATATAATAATAGGTAGGTAGGTAGGTAGGTAGGTATGCATGTTTGCCTAAATATCAGTAATTCATTTTTTATAAGTGACGCTATTTATAGGTATTTACATGTAGATACTAATTATATCACTGCATCCAAAGTATGCAAATGTATGTGTACATACAACCATCAGAAGATTTAATATAGTATCCAGTTCATCTCAAATATAAAACAACAAAAATCAAATGTTTGATTTTATCAAAAAAAAAAAAAAATGTAAATGGTAAATTATAGCTCATAAAAAAAAATCTTGGTTGTAATTAGCCAGGTACCTACCTAATATTAATGTTTTAGATTTAGTGATTTAGTTAATTAGGAATTTCATGTATTGAGTATTAAGAATTTTTATAGATCTCTAATAATATAGGAATTTAATAAATACCTACCTATTACAATAATCTTAACAGAAAAATAAGGGTATCCTATATTTTGTGGCTTGAATATGTGTAGATATTTATATCTACAAAACCCTGGGTAGTGAGTAAACACGTTGTATTACACTGACTATCTCATAATGTATAATTATGTTCACTTAATTACAAGAAATAATATAAAGTAATATTACAGAAACAAGTGCATCGTCTGAAAGTCAATTAAATTTTATTCTAACCTAAGAATAGGGTTTTTAAACATACTACACTTCCATTAAGAATTGATCGATTTTTAACAACTCATATCAACTCTTTTACAGGTACAATGAATTTAGTTGCATCAGATATTTATAATCAAGAAAATAATGATGACAAAAATGTTGATGAAAATATACAAATGGAACTAGGAGAAAATTCCCAAATGCAAGCTTATGAGGATCAACAAATGGAAGATGCAGATGAAGATGTACGTACAATAAATGTTGATGAAAATATAGAAATTCAAACTGAAGAAAATGTAGGTCAACCACAATATTTACACCATGACAAAAACCAACCAATACCATCACAGTGTGCTGGAAATGATAACATTTGTATGGTTTGTATTAACGGTCATAAACCAACCGGTGCACATAAATGTAACTTATGTAAGAAAGCTGTGCACATAATAGATGTATGTTCTTATAACATACTTGGAGAAGAAGAAGGATTTGGTGAGAAACGGATTTGTCACCAATGTAAGAGCAAGTCGTTCGATCATGCGAGAAATGAGCTAAACGCAGAAGAAAACTGGAGAGGAGAGACGGAAAATAATAAAAAGAGATCAAATTATTTACAAAAAGATCCAACAATATTGTTTTATAATGATTCCAGCAAAATAAAATCTCCCGTAATTGGAGTTCTTAAAAATGGGAACCGCTCAAATCTCAAAAATATCCAGATTGATGGTAAATTTTACATTTCTTCAAATACATGTGCATTTGATTCTATCTTTCATATATTATGTACAAGCTACCGTGACAGTAAATATAATGATGAGTTCGTTAATTCCAATAGTGATTATATAATTTTTAAACTTATAACTAATGTTATTAAAGACGGAATTAATGTACAGACATACCGAAAACGGTCGATGATATTAAAGGAAATATGTAATCTGAAAGAACTTTCAGAGCAGTTGATCTGCATTCAAGCTGACACCACCATTGAAGTCATGGCGAGAAATTTATTAGAAACTTGGCCATCTCGCGTGGACACCCAGAATTGCATCAGTTGCCCACGTCAGCAAATTAACCAGCAGCCAATTCTAATAAACGTGAATGATATTCAAAATCTAAACATGCTGCTCATAGCTGACGGAAATGTAAACAAATGCATCCAATGCAATCGTCGTTTAACTAATCCATACAAGTAAGAATATTTTTTTTTTATAAAATAATATAGTGAACTACAGCCATTTAAAAATAATTGGACTTACTAAGTATTCTATTCAAGTTGTGTACTTCACATATATTTACCAAATTAATATAATAATTAAGGCATACATATACTTAATCCTGTAGGAAGGCAAAATATCTAGTATAGGTACATGTGTAGTTATTCATCTATAGATAATTAATATAAAAAATATAAATTTTCAAAGAAGTCTTAATTCTAGAGAACTAAAATATCCTTGACCTCCTTCTTCTTATAAAGAATACTTATATTTTATAACTATTATATACTTTTTATATAAATAAAGTAATATTATATTTACCTATGTTTTATTTTTGATTTGTTCTGTGTAAATTTAACTTCACTTTTATTTATTCATTTATATTATACTACACTTATACGTAGTATCTCGTCTTGGATACTCTATGCTTTCGGGAGTTTATAATTAAGTAAAAATGAAGACATTTCGGACCCATAAAAATCATGATAATATATTATATAAGTAGGTAACTATTTAAAGATAATTTCATATAAATCAGAATATTATAAGACATAATTTGACAGTTTGATTGGGAACATTTTAAATAGAAGAGGTATATAGAATATATCCTCATGTTTGTTTTAGAATTACTTTTTTATCATTACTAATTAGAAATTTGATTTACGCGTTACAGGTACTTAGAACACATTTTAATAATGACCACGCCCAACATAGATTTAGCGAAAATTCCTGACACCGACCACCCAGATGTTGAATTAATTCAAGACCAAAATTCATATGTTTTAGGAATACAAATACAATTAAAAGATATACCAGCTTTTATCACAATTAAAAGTCAAATATACAAACTTCGTGGTGTCATACATTTCATAAAACCAACACATATAACTGTAGATAGTATTGGTCATTATACGTCATATTGTTTTCGCGAAGGGTTAAACAAATGGGAATTATATGATGATTATAACAATAGCCCACAGAAATGTAAAGACACTATAGTTGTTAATGCAGAAATGATTATTTACACTGTTTAAATGTTATATTTAATATATACATTTGCAATATAATACTTACCTATGTAATATATATGGAGGACATAGATATCATTATTTTAATTTTATATTTTACTATTACTTTTTCAAGGAAGAACTAAAATTATTATTAAATAACTATTATGTTTTTTTTATTATTATTTTATATTTCTTACAAAGTTTGTTAGATTTTTTTTTATATCTACAATGTTATTGTAATGAATACTATCATCTTTACTATGCATACAATTAAATTGTTTCAACTGTTAATACTTATATAATATATGAAAGGCATTATCATTATTTTTATTTTATAATTACTATTATGTTTTTTTTATTATTATTTTATATTTCTTACAAAGTTTGTTAGATTTTTTTTTATGCCTACAATGTTATTGTAATGAATACTATCATCTTTACTATGCATAAAATTAAATTGTTTCAACTATTATTTAATTATAATATGGTATTGTAGATAAGCAATTGATATCAGGACATGGAAATGGGGAAATAATAAAATAATAATATACAATATATACTACAATATATAATTACTCATTAGATTAGCAATTCATTCAACTAAGAAATTGCATTTTAACTAAACATTAATTGATAGTGTGTATCAAGAATCGACTAATTTTTAATTTTTAATTTAATTTTTTTGTTATTTTGGCTTAACATTTCTTAAACTATACTTAAAATTTGAATTCACCGGGCTAGGGAGTCAGCACAAACGCGGGACCAAGTAGAACAAACGGCACTAATGTAGCACATTCGAATGAAAAAAAAAAATTTCCAATTTCCAATATGGCGGGGCTGGGGAAATGGACCTTAATTGTTCAAATATGTGAAAAAAATTGAATAATATAATAATAATAATAATGTGTAAAAACATGTATTTATGACAAAATCTGTAAAAATATGTAATTTCCCCAATATAGCTCGTTTTATCAAAAATCTTGTGATACAAATTTATCACTGGCCGAAATTAATAAACTATATAAATCCGAGCCCTAGTAATTACTAATTCAACTGCAATAACTTTTGAAGCCAAATTTACTATGTAGTATGCTGGTGAGACCAGACGAGTGTTGTAGACTAGAATTTCATATTGAGGTTTGATAATAATTTAATTTTACTTGATAAATAAATAAATGCATTTATATACTTTATTTATATGTTTGAAAAAGTGTTACTTGTCAGTACAGACATGGTTAATTTTTGTAATTTTAAAAATTAAAACCTATCTATTTTAAACTTTTCAGGTGTTGTGATCCTGCTTTTTCCGAACTTAGTTTTGGATCTAGTCGTGACAGTTCTGATTCGACTTAATGCGTCCGCGTTGGTGTTGTTAGCACCTGGCTTATAATGGATTTCATACTCGTATTCCTCCAATTTCAACCTCCATCAGATTAGTCGGGACCCGGGGTCCTTTACGTTGAAAAGCCAGCTTAACGCTCGATGATCTGTAATAATGTTGAATCTCTGCCCATATAAGTACGGTCGGTATTGTTTAACTCCCCATTCTATGGCACAAAGTTCTTTCTCTGTTGTATTATAATTTTGCTCTGCTTTGTTAAGAGTACATGATGCATAAGCTATTGGTGGATCATTCCCAATTGGTCCTTGAGATAGTATGCAGCCAATTGCAAAGTTGCTGGCATCGCATGTGAGGCTAAATGGTTGTTCAGAAGACAATGGTCTCACGAACCACGTAAAAGGGATTCAGCGAGACTTACACAAAGAAGCGCTAAAAAAGACAAAAGCGTTTTCCTTCAGGTCGGACGCTGTTGACATGGCATCACCCACTCAGTTGAATTTTGGTAATTTGAAAGGCATTAAATAAGATGACGTCGTCAGAAAAATCAGATTAGTGGCCTTAAGTGCCGATGATAGTAGTATGTGTTTGGGGAGTTTGGCTCCATTTTTACAGGGAGATGAAAAAAAATCAAGGGAACAAATTCCCCTTACAGTGCATCCAATCTCCCTATAATTTCAAAACAAAAATTTAAATGTTTAACCAGTTACATTATTAATTGCCAGACATGATGTTAAATAATACATAATTAATTTAAAATATTTAGTTAGTTTTTAATGAACCGTTGATCAATCAAGTTGTGTTTTATTTTTTATTTTTCCGACAAATTATCTTATTGATTTTTACGATTAAATATTTT